CTCTGTAGGCTGCGTGTGGAGGCCAGCAAGCTGTACAACGCAGGTGCAGAAGAAGTGGCTAGGTTGGAAATGTGAGATGAGTCTTCTCTTCAGAGTAAACATGCTCAGCTAGCTGCCGGTAATTATACTTGCTCATCCTGCTACCGGCAACACCATGTCCAGTGTCAGCCAACGGTTAACAAATTATGTAGGAAGAAAACAATGGATTTCTTAAAAAAAAAAAAAATCTTTGAACTCTCTGCGAATAATAAAGGAGTCAACAATGCCTACTTTCCTGAAGCACTTTGAGATCTGCAAATTAAGGTTTACATAAGAGTGTAAATATTATTATTTATTTAAGGGTTCTCACCTTTCCCTTTGCCTCTTCTCTTCTTCCTCTTCCCCGTTACTTATTTGTTGGGAAGATGCTATTTGTATTCATGAATATGTGTCCAAAGTAGGAGGCAATGGGAGGATGTGGACTATAAGATTGGGTGAGAGAGTGAACAGGAGCAGGGAGGAGAGGGGCTGTGAGGTGGAGGAGAAGTAAGGGGACAGACTATAAAAAGAGTAAGCAAAGGTTAGCAAGAGGGGAATAATATTGTGTTTCTTTGGTGATTAAAAATTTCTTACCCTAAAGCATCAGCAGATCCTTGTTTTGGGGTCGGGGTTTTTTAATGGACATTTCTTAAACATCTTAGTTAAACGTTCAAGACAAATAATAAAAGTTTAGATCAACTATGATAAAAAAAGTTTTAAAAATTTATCTGGGCTTTAGTTGTCAAAGTATGTGATCTGATTCATATTTTTATCATTCTGGCTGAAATCAAATTCAGGCTACTGCTGATGCTTTTTTTCGACATGTGTCATGTGTTAGCCTGTGCTTTTTTGTCCCTTGGGAGAGGGTAGGAAGCGTTCACCGCCTCGCTGCAGGGCTGGGCAGAGCTACCACCCCTCTGAACCCGTGGTCCCCCTCTGCCTGTACTGCAGGCCCTGGGTGAGCCCTCTCATACCTTTTGGTGAATGTGGAGAATGGGTACTGACATATGTCAGTGGCAAAACATCAGCTAAATAGGAAGTTAAAATAAGGTATACCAGGAAGAATAAAACCAATTGTAACATTACTTTAATGGAAAACATAGCTATCAGCGAATGTGAACAAAACAACCCCACTAACTTGTAGCCCAAGGATGCATTTGTACTGACAAAAACATCTGAGGCATGGTTGTAATGAGAATAAGCTGGTTCTATGGTGAAGGGGCTGCTCAGTTATTATAAGACCAAAACAGAGTTTGTTTTTCCTTTCAAACACAGCTATCTGCCTAAAACTGTTGGCCATATTATTCCTTCATAAAAACTCCAATATTGAAATATTTCTCTTCCTTTTTATCTATGAAAGCCCTTCCTATAGTTTTTCTCTTTGTGACTCCGTCACTTCACACTTTATTTCCCCCTCCCATTCTTGGCATTGGCTCTGTTGAATGCTGCCTCCTTATGATTTTATTCATTACTCAGCTCTGGAAGTATGTTCACCACTGTAACTCCACTAATTTTTTTGTGTATCATTTGTGTGAGATGAAATGCACAGTATTGTAATACATATACCTTGTGATAGAATCTAGGTTCTTTATACATTAAATTAGGTGTTTTCTTGTTGCTTTCAAAGTAGTCTTAGGAGTTCTTCTGTACTATTTCCAACTATAGTAGGAACATTGGGCAAAAAAATGGTCTGAAGATGCATTGCAGCCATACCCACCTAAAGCAGAAGAATACAGGATAGCTAAAAGCAGGCAATATCCTGGTAGGCATCGAAGCTTCAAAGACAAATTTACACTTCTTAATGGAAAATAAATTAACCTGTCAACTACAAAGTTGTAACATTTACATTCAGTTCCAAAATCAAAGCATCCTATATAATGCCAGGGTCAGAGTCTGCTACAAAGATTGATTCCTAGTAAGTACCCAAGAGTACATCAATGTGGAATTTAATATTCACAAAACGTATCTGACTGGGTGTTTTCTCTAATAAATTGCATTGTTGAAATGTTTACATGCAGAATATGTTTCAGACAACAGAGAAAGCCAGGGCTTAAATTCTTCCAGGCAATTGCACAAAGAAGGAAGGTGTTCTTCAGCTGAGCAGGGGTAAGTCCTTAAACAAATAACTGTCCTGTCTGTAATTCATCTTGAAATCAGCACGGGTCTCTCTCTTTAATGATCAGGGCTTTGTGGTTCACATATCTGGAAGAAGGAAGGCTGATTTACACTAATGCAACAATACCGGTTCTCTTCAGTAAAGAGCCGTGTAGCTGTTTGTTCTAGAGTCCCAGCATCTCAAATGCACACTCAGTGTTTAGCTGTGCATTCTTTGGATTCGTGGAACACTGAAAATTAAATTAAACTATAAGAGAGACAGTTTCTCTTCTGATGTTAGCTGAGAGTCTTGCCCATGCATGTTGTCCTTCGAAGCTATGCATACTAAAAGAGTAAACCTCATCATGTGAATATTATTGTTAGTGGATATGTATCTTGGGCTGCTCTGATACCTTTGCAGGATGGATGACCATTTATTTTACTTCCCTTTAATTATTTTTCTTTTATTTGTGACTTAGGTGCACTTGGTTCACTGTATTAGGGCCTGGACCTTAAAGATGAATGGTGTTGACACTTGCACAGTAAGTATCCTTTTTGTGTGAGAGATCTGTAAGGGAGCTTGTAGCACAGATCTCTGTTGTGTAGACATGTTACTTGCCTGTGTTATGACTTCTTGCAACATATAACAGTGACTGGACAGAGTTCACCTCTCACAGAATTTGCACATGCCAGGAATTTTTTCTCATTCTGTGTTTGAGACATTTTCTGTGGTTACACCTCCTGCTAAATGCTGGACTATCACAGGTCCTGTTCCAAGTAGCTGCAGAGTTATTCAGCACTTCTGTAATAGGAAATCAGGATCCATTAAATTTCTTGCTTGCTTTGTTTTATTAAATGTTCCCTATCCAAGCATATTTTTTTTAATTTAGGTGAGTTGCTTCAAAGTAAAACCTAAAGGGGACAGAAAAAGCATTGGGTTATTCTTTCTTAGCAGCAGCATGTTTTGAATCTGTGCCGGATGCGTCAAAAGTGTTTTGGACTGTTGCTCGGACTGCCCTGGCATCCCAGGAAGAATTTCAGCCTCTTCTCCTCTGTTCCTGAATGAGGGAAAGGCTTCTGGGACAAATAATACCCAACTTCAGCCCTTGTGGCTAGCTCCTTATGAGACTCTTCCGGACCGACTGCAGAATGTCCACCCTGGACTTCCAAGGACAGACTGTAGATCACCTGCCCTTATGTGAGTGGCTGTTTTTTCTTTCAAAATTTTTTTTTTCAGAACACGATGGGTCTGCTCTAGGATTGTTCCCTTCCTAAAACATTAACATGGTCAGCGCATAGGATTGTGCTTAGCAAATGGAATGAGCAGCGTTGGAATAAAAATGCTGTGGAAGACGTCACCACGCTCTGGCTGAGCCCTAACTGGGCACCTGGAACGTGCACATCATATACCTTCTCACTGTCAGAGCTGGGTTTCACAAGCAGTGACTCAGAAGAGAATAAGCTATAGCTCAGAGAAACACAAGGATTCCCAGTTAAAGCCTCGTCTGATTTCCTATGTGTAGGGCATCAATGAAAACCTCCCATTTTTAGATGCAATGTTAAAGTACACTTCTGTCAAGAAAACTGAGCCTGTGAACCACCAGGGTGGACCTTGGCTCCATTTTCCATCACTTCTTTCCACTTTGGACTGTTCTCAGCTTCGCACAGAATCGATCTCCTCCTTTCCATAGCCATCTCTGTGCAAACTGCATCGGGGAAGGGCAAGGCAGGGCTGGTGGTGTTTTCATCCTTGGGCTCCAATATCAGCCATGTCCAGGGTAATGGGAGGTGGTGGGGTCTACACCAGCAGAGCCATTGTGGCCAGGGGAGGTCCTTGGCAGTGCCACTGCCACAAGTGATGCTGTGTACGGGGCTGCAGAGGCTTTAGGATCACCACATATTAAACACTTCTGATGTCCGTGCAGGTGAAGAGTAAGTTTTGACTCACAGCTCCAAAGGCTAGGCATCTTTGCAGGACTGAAAGGTGCAAAAAGCAAGAGCTTTCTTTTTCTAGGTTACTAAGTCACCAAGCTGCTGGGAGATACGACTGTGTACACGCAGACAAAGCAGATCTGCTGATTAGGCTGCTGGTTTACAGCTTATTTTCTCAGTGTAAGTTGCCTGTTGAAACAGAAAAAAATTCAAAGATAATAAGGCTACAATACCCCCCCCCCCCCCCCCCCGCCCCAACTCCTCGTTAAGCTTGTCAGTAGAACAGACAGCATTGCTGGTGACTGCTTTGTCTAGTCTGTAATACTCTACTCTATTTATTGAACAACATATCTATTTGTCATGTAGTCTTCTTCCTCCCTAGTGCTCTGAATGCAATTATCAAAGGTGTCCTTACATCTTTAAATCTCATTTAGAAGGAGAGCCACAGCCAAAATGCTAATGAGCTCACCTTAATTGTAAACATTGACCACCGATAAGAATGAAACTCCATCCTCTGTTCTCAGAGAAGTTCTTACGTGTTTCCTACTTACACCGCTTTTTATCTGATTCTCCTTCACTTCTGTTCTTAGGCAGATTAATAGGCATCTGAACAACAAATAACAGTACTACATCTTCTTCACACCCTTTTGACAGACTTTTGAGATTGCAAAGTATTTTTGGAAAATTATTATTGGAAAAAAGATTACTGAATGATCGGGCGGAGGGCAATTTTTCAGGCTGGAACAAACCGTTCCCCAGCATTTACATGCACACACTAGTAACTCGCACTTAAATGCTGATGGGACATTTTTTAGAATGTGATAAGTGTGAAATAGCCCATAGTTTTATCAGTCTTGGTTGCTGCCCACTCCTACTAAAAAAAGGTTGATTGTGATCATTAAGTTGCAGGTAGGCAGTGCCTCTGGACTGTAAAATAGGAATGTTAGTGCTCAGTGATGAAAGCAAACTTTGCTCAACACCTGTCTATATATATTGCAGGTTTCAGTGGCTGCCCAGCTGATCCGTTCGCTCTGTTGTCTGGGAAGAAAGAAGTGGTAAGTAAGAAAAACTAACACCAAGTTTTCTATTCTTCTTTTTTAAACTTGCTTAGATTATAAATTCAAAGCTCTGCTTTGGCAGCTCAAGGAATAGCAACAGAGAGCTAATGTGGGGAACTGGAGTGGACATGTGAAGTGTCATCCACTTGTTAACATTTTCACCTTGTGTTCTTTCATCTGCATTTATGTGTTAAGGAACTGATAAAAAACAATAGTTTTAAAAACAAACTGGGTTACTTTTTGTCTGAAAAAAAATGGATTTATTTTTATGGAATATAAAGCATTGTACTAGTACCTGTCAGAAAAAAAAAAACAAAAACAAAAACAAAAAAAAAAAACCAGAAATAACTGCCTATAGCATAAAGAAGTATTGTTTTAACTACTATTTGGATTTAAAAGAAGTGAGATTTTAAGTCATAGTAATCAGTGGTATTGGATACTGGAAAATGTCTAGGATATGATTAATGAAACATTGGAAGGAAATACTGTGAGTTCTTGTGTTAGCATAGATAGTGTGTGAAGTCTGCATGCTGCACTATGCCCGTGTCAGGCTATTCTTGACGGAAACATTTTCTTATGCTAATTTGGTTTGATACATGGAGGTAAAAGGAATACATTAGTCTAATGCAGTTAGCTCAACTAATGGGGCAGTAGGCAGAAATCAACTGGTTTCTCAGTAACTTTTATTAGCAGCTCTTCCATTGTATCAGTAAGTCTTTTTAATGTCATCACTTTTTCCTCTCTTGATTCTTTACTGTGTGTTTTGCGTTGGGATGGGGTAGATCTGTTGTATTTACTTGTTGATGGGATTGTTATATTTTGTTGCTTTGTTCTAAAAAGTGGTTGCTTTAATTAAATACCTAGTAGGCATTTCAAGTAGTCCACTGATGTTTCCTGGCTCTGGCTCTTCAGTGGTAGTGTCTAGTGCTTTGCTTTGTTGTGAAAGCAAAAATTAATGTTTGGAATTCATTTTCTGTCTGCACTTGCTTAGAAATTAGTTCTCTTTACTAATTTGTTTTATATATTTTTTAATTTTGCTATGTGTTAGGTTCAAGCTTGTGAGCAGAAAGTCTCAGGGATCCATAGGAAGAAAGAGTGAGCACAATGCTAAATTTTTTTTTGGCTTTCACATTTCTATTTTATCCTTTACCACTACATTAGTTGAAAGTTTACATCCTGGCTAAGCCTGCTAACTCATTCAGAGAAAAAGACCCAAGGCTGGTGCCAAAGCAAGGACAAGACTTGCTCCTAGCAGGGCTGAATCATTGCTGGTGTTTATTTAACTCGCTGCTTGTTCTGTTGCAGCCAGGGCTTTGTGGCTGCCATGGAACAGGTTCTGGACCAAAATTATCAGCTGATGCAAAGCTATTGAATGAATTTGTGCTGGCTGAGGATCTTTCCTTTCCTGTGTCTATATAATGTGCTTATATGTCAGAAATTACACATTTTGAGGGGGAAAAAATCAGTATTTTTTCAAAATGTGTAAAAATTTCTATGTAGCTTGGTATTTACTCCTATGAAATATATGTGGTAAACATTGATATTTAATAAGTCATACAGTCAGCTATCAGATTGGCTGATAAATCCACTGTTAACATAAAAGCCATAGCACAGTGGTGAATGACAAGAAAGTGATCTGTATTTGCAGAAAAGCTGAGAGAGGAGGAGAGTGCAAGAGAGAGGAAAGCCTGGCTGAATCTAAAACTTGATCTGGAGCTGCTTGAGCTACCTGTAGGCATGCGTTGGCATCTGTTGTAATCATTACCAGTTGGTTTTGAAAATACTGCTATTTTCTCCAGAGCTTTTGTTTCACCTTGGTTTGACTGGGTCTGTTCCCCTGGAGGTTAGATTTCTCTAAGGCTTACTGCTCCGTAGTTCTCATGTCAGGCACAACGTGGCCTTTCAGTGAGCTGTCACGGGTGGAGAGGTACAAACAATACCATCCAGGCATGTGCAAGTGGTAGTTCATATTCTCCGTGTTAAGACCAGCAAAATAAATAGACTTACAACAGTTTCTGATTTAAAACTGGAAAGCACCGAGAGTCTAGCCCTGCAACTGAGGCAATGCTGTTACACTCCAATGAGTCACTGAGGAATGCAATACAGGGCAACTGCATGACACCTAGTGTTGCTCAAATAATTCCCCAGAGACTTTAACTCTTTGAAATGCTGCAGCAGTGAGAGAGTGAATATGGCTATAAAAACCATGGGACCCCACTTTGGCTTTGCCTTTGTCTCTTTCACATTTTATTTCAGAATTTGAATGCCATCATTTCCATCTATCCCCTTCTTAGGAGTGGGAGGTTTCAGTTTCTTTTGGAGTTAGAAAGGATGTCACACATAGTTAGCATTTTCCAAAGGTGAGGAAAGACTATACTTACACTGAAAGGAGCACAGACGATGGTGTGAGAGGATTTGCTGCGAGGTTCACCGAAACAGACTGGATTACAGTTTGTGCAGGCATTAGTTTTCAGACCTTTGCAATATGCATAGCATATTTTGACCTGCCACTTTCAGAAGGAAATTAGCTCCCGTTTCAGCACAGCTCCGAACAGGCGGATATCCAAAGTGCCAGTGCTTATCCAGACGCAAGCTCCACGGCTACGCCCTGGGTGCAGCCGGTGTCCTGCCAGCGAAGGCGGGAACCAGACGTGTGGTGCTGAGACACCCGGCGCTGAGACACCTGGGCTGGAACAGGGATGGGCAGAGCTCATCACTCTGGGCACCCCATCCAGCAATTGTGGCTATACTGCCTTTGGACCAGGACCGGTGTGTCCAGCTGAGCAGAGCTCCTTGTTGCAGTGTGTCGTCACTGGCCCATCATCTGCTCGTTCTCTAACATGTTCCTTTGCAGTATAGTTATTTCTTCAGTGTTCAAAAGTAAACCACTATTAGGACTTTCATTGTCATTTATATCTTGCATCAAATTATGTTGGTCTTTTATGACGTGCCTGACCTGAGCCTGTCCAAAGATGCAGCTCATAGGAGCTGCCAGGGAACGAAGCAGTTCACTTTGTCACCCTGCTGCTCCGCTCCTCTGCAGCACCTAGATTTTCTTCCGAGTATTTTCTCAAGATGTAAATGTGTATATTGGGGACAAGGAAGAATTCTTTGAAGGGAAAACCTGTAGAATGTAGATTATCCTTGTAGCACAGACATTAATTAACAGTAAGTAGCTGTGGCCGGGGCTCTGGCAAACAGCGTATCAGGTGGCTGTAAACTATCTTCTCAGCTGTTCCTTTTAACAAGAGTAGGGATCTGGAGAAAACTGACAGCCTTGGTGGCGCTTCAAGGATCTAGACGGTTCTGCTCTCATCAGTCCTTGATACCAATCATACAGAATGGGCTCATCTCGTAATACCTCTGCAAACCCAAATACGCAAGACAAATACTGTAAGGACCTCCGGTATTCAAGTCTACCTTCCTAAATCAGAAGTTGACTCGGAATCACATTAATAATTTTATACACGTACCTATTAAAAAATCTTCCTCCAGAGAGCTGGTCAGCTCTCATTCTAGGGCATTTAATCACATAAAGCAAAACCAGTAACAATACACAACGTACCTGTGGGATCCTGAACGCCTCAGGAAAATGAGAGATGCTTATTATGAAAAAATGCCCTGCTGAATTCTTGACTGGGGAGAGTTTATTTGGAGACACAGAGGCTGCTTGTTTGCTGAAGTTTTCAAGCTCCTGTTTCTCCCATGAATGCATCAGCTCAGTTTCCATACAGCAATCATGCAGGCTGAATTAATTCTTCATTTCCATACTGAGTGTAACAGAAGAGCTGTAAAAATACTGATGGCATCTCTAGGGCTGGTGGCGTCTAGCTTATTCTCTGTCTTTCCGTGGCGGGAATACGTTGTCAATGCAACTTCACATCCGAATTTCAAATGCATTTTCATGATTGCATTTCACTTAAGAAGCACTTGTGCAGAGCAGTTATTTTTTTTCAGAGCAGTTTAAATTCTGAGCATGCATAAATGAAACTTGTTTAACAAGATGGAAGTGTTCTGGCATGGGTGGAGCTTGGAGGTTGCTCTTGCATGGGTGAAAATATGAGAATTTGCTCCAAGCAAGTGGAAACCCTTGTTGAAACAAGCAACAGTGATTTTCTTCCGTCTACTCTGAGATCTTTCTTTGTGTATCTTGGGAACTGCTCCGTATCTTAAGCCACAGATAAAATTGTATAAAAGCATGGTTTTTGCTAGTGGGCTGTAGAATAATTTTCCTGCCAATGTGGAAGGGGAGATACTCTTTCCTTTGTGGAGTGACAAAAAACAATACCCTCCCCTGTTACAGTAAGACAAGTGATTTTGTCTGTGACATTTCCTTCCCAGCTAATGGAGGAAGTTGTGTGGCTTATTGACATGGGCAGGAACAAAACATGTTCACAATCAGCTATGTAAAGGATGATGATTAAATGAATGATTAATTACACCTCCACACAGTGGCTGCTAAATGCAGGTGAACCTTGTTTACGAGAGCATGTTACCAACTCTGACACTGACTTTTGGAGGCTGGGCACAGGTGCCCTGTTTATGAGGAGCATTGCAGGCAGATTCTCTCACCGATGTTTCGGCCGCGCGGGTGCAGACGTGGCGGCTGCGGGGCAGCTTTGCCTGCAGCACTGACCTACTCGTATGGTAGAGAGGGTGGAAGAGACAGACCCTAAGGTGAGGCTTTTCTGGGTAGGGTTCACTTTTCCCATCCTTCCCGCTGAATGTTCGGTCACGCTGTTCTAAGCTAGCCAACAGCCTTACAAACCTGGAAAGGTAGAAGAAGTATTATCATATATTGTCTCGGCTTCCCCCTCTTTCATGTCCCTCCCTCTGGTTTCTGATATTGGTGAAGTAAATAAGTAGGGCTCTTCTAGGTTTTGCTCCAAGGAAAAGATGCTTCCTCTTCTTGTGCCTGGGCTGGGTCTGTCCCATGTGCTTATACCTGTGCCAGCAGGATTTGGCCATGTGATGTCTTATTTTTTAAGTTATTATTGGTTAATATTACAATGCATGTCAAATATGCTCAGAAGGGGTCAGGAAGGAAGAGAGCCTATGTGAGACGTTTGAGTCTGAACTTGCTGCCACTAACTCTGCTTCACTGGCAGAATCAGCTGTGAGTTACAGGCACATATAGACTCGCAAAGGGTCGCTGCTGTCTAATTATGCCCTTGTCCAGTTGTTCAGCAAGCATCACTCTGCAGCTCAAAACTCTGGGATCTTCCTTCACCTCTTCTGGGGTCATGATCCTCTCCAGGCTTCTGTGGGAATGAATCAGTAAAGGCAACAAGAAGACTGTTTAGAATATGTGACCCAAACTAGGCGATGCTTTAGGGAAGATCTTTCGTTGCTGTGGTCTGTATATGGAATTACCAGTTTGGTAAAGGCAGTCAGTTAAATCCAGAAGGTGGGAGAAAATAAAACAGCCCTCTAACTTTTTGCTGAAAGGAGATAAAATGAATTACAAAAAAGAAATGCGTAAGGTTTGTAAAGCAGAGGAATTTTTGCTTTCATTACAGTTAGAAGTGAACAGAAATACAGGCATGAGATGAAAATAATTTTTTTAAATTGTGTGAATTGCACAAATAAGTCATCTGTGTGATTTAAAAAAAATGAGAAATCAATTTTGCAAATAAAAGAAAAATTCACAATAATTAGTAAAAGGCTGTGTCCAGGGATAGATTGTTTCCAATCCATTTCCATCTCTTTTGCTCTTAAACTTAACCATATTTCTCATATGCCCTGTTGTGAGTTGAATATTGTGACTGCACATGCATTTTAATCAGCGCTACTTTGTTAGTCACAGATCATGGCTCCCTGGCCTGAGGTGGAAAAGCCTGAAACCAATAACTATATTGGGGACTCTTCCAAACAAAACCAGAACATGTCTGGGAAAGAAGGAGAAAATCACAAAGGTAATGCGTGCTCACCTGTGAATTACAGAGTTATAAGTTTTGGGTTTCCTTGGAGAAGATGGAAAGTAATTAAACCATTTTTAAAATTTCTATTTCATCAGGCAATGTGGCTTCACTTGGAAATAAAGGGGAAATTCAACCTGCATTTTCCACAATAGCCTTGATAGATGAGACAAGACCAGAAGAAGAGGACCCATGGGCTCTGCCGGAACTGCAGGACACTGGGGTCAAGTGGTCAGGTAGCCATTTGTCAGTAAATAAGTTACCTGCATTTATTTTTTTTCCATCACTTCTATTCTCTTTGTCTCCATTATTTTTCTGAAATTATATTTGCTGCAGAATTTAATTTCAGGTTTGAGGAGTTTTCAGATGTAGGCTTTACACTCTGTCTCACCTTCCCCAACAGTGAATGGGGATATTATATTCAGTCAGTTAAGAAGAATCTGGAAATCATGCTGCTTACCCTCCTTAAAACACAAGGAGATATATGGAAGACAATCCAAAACTATGATGGTTTTATATCCAGGATCTTACTGGTCTTTCTTTACTCAGTAGGATGACTGTGTAAAGCAAAGGGTCAATCTCAGACTTCATAAGGCTTTTGCCGTATACCAAAAGCTTTTACATGGTAAAACTCAGTAAGCGAACTACCTGCTTCTGCAGTTAAAATTTGATTAAGAAGAACATTCTTTTGGGTTTACTCACACACTGGGGTCACAAAACTGCCTTTGACTCTGTAGTCTCTGCCTGTGCGCGAGACTGTTTCAGAGAGAACACCAGATACATCAAGCAAGTCTGTTATGCATAACGTTTTTGTTTTGCAGAACTGGATAGAAAAGGAAAAATCATTCGTGTACTCTACGGGATAGGGAAGTTTATTATGCTACTTGGATTACTCTACTTGTTCGTGTGTTCTCTGGATGTATTGAGCTCTGCTTTTCAACTGGTAGGAGGTATGAAAATGTCTAAAATATCCAGAATGAACTATGAAGGAGGCAGTAAATTTAATCTCAGTGAATAAATTACAAGTATCACTCTTCAAGAACATTCTCCATAGATTTATGTGTTGAGATATGGATTCAGAAGGAAGTAGCTCTGATTGAAGACTGACCTTCATTTGTTTGAAAGGACCTTTGTTTCTCAAATTCCAAAGAGCTGTTGATGTAGGGATTATTGGCTCTGGTTTCTTAGTAGGTATCTGTTACTTTAGTGACAGCTTACATGAATACATCTCGCATAAATTTGTCCCACGTGAAAGACATTTCAACAAGGTGAAATATAAAAATTGCACCCTTGATCAAAGCATCCAGCACTGAAATGACCTTCAAGTCCTTCAAAGCTGAAAACTATTGAAACGTATTTTTTACATTTATCTGTCTCCAAGGGTTGAATTCTGATGATGGATTCCAAAGTGGTTATTGGAGAAATATGTGAGCATCTGTGGAAGTATTTTGGATTTTAGGCAACACAGAAAGCTACAGGAACAGAAATACTCAGGATTATTAAAAAAAGTTTTCCTTGATGCAGTAACCAAAAACATCAAGGCAGTAATAGCATTTAAATCTATGTATGCATGTGTTTTTGTCCTACAGTCTTTCCTCTGACGGCTGTGGTTTTATATGGTTCTCTGCAGAGTTCAGTAGAGTTTGTTTAGTCACTGAAATGAGAAAATATATTATGTGATAACGTAGAGGCTGAGAGTTCAGGACCTGAATTTGGCTCCCTGGGCTACACCACCTTGTATATTTTTTGGCTGGCAAGCATGCCTATATATGTATCAATTAAATGGTTGAATGCTCCTTAATTAAAAACTCTGCTAGTTCCTATGGACTTTACCTTGCACTTCCCTCACTCTGAGAATATGTTTTTTGTAGGTAAAGCAGCAGGGGACATTTTTAAAGATGATTCAGTGCTGTCTAATCCTGTTGCGGGATTGGTGATTGGAGTTCTGGTGACTGTTATGGTCCAGAGCTCCAGCACTTCTTCATCCATCATTGTCAGCATGGTGTCCTCGACATGTAAGTCTGCTTACAGTATCTTCCTAGAGATCTCTCGTAAATCTTGGCCTGGGGTGCAAACATTCCTACTGTGTTCAACTTGTAGAAGCTTTGGGTGTATGAATAGAGACTGCAAGAAAATATTTTCAGAGCTGTTGCCCTGATATAAACTACGATTTAAAAAAGTAATAATAATAATAATATTAGTAGAAGCAGTAGTAATAATAAGTCCACAACTGCAATGAAAATCATTGGAAGCCTCGGCATTGAATGCACTAATTTTGGAAGTATCTGCATACTTTTCTCATGTCAGCCAGTTACTAAACTTCATTTGTTTCTGTGGCATCATTTCAGAATTCTGTGGTAAGTAGGAAAACACATGGGAAAGAAGAGACTTTAACTTACTCTGTCCCTCTAACGTGTGGTGAAAAGGGATACCTAAGGGCTGCAGTTTCAGTGGGGACCACAGGACTATGGTAGTACTGTGTTCCCAGGGAGCTTGATTAAAGCAGACATATCTGGACTGGAGTGCCTAGTCCCAGTGACATCAAGGAAAGTCAGGGTTCCAGTGACATTAATAGATGTTAATTTTTATTAGAGCAAAGAGCTTGCTGATCTGATTTTTTTATTCAGTGCTTCCTTTTCTGCTTTCTAGTGCTGACTGTTCGATCAGCTATTCCTATCATAATGGGGGCAAACATTGGCACCTCAGTTACAAACACAATTGTGGCACTCATGCAAGCCGGGGACAGGAATGAATTTAGAAGGTATTGTACTTACACACTAGATCTGAAAAGTTGTTTTTCTTCTTTCTTTGTAGATTTTCTTCTGTGTTCCCTATTACTACTATAGCTGTGCAACCTTTCTGTTTACCAAAACTTAAATGTCGAGTTAAGAAAGTCACAAGCATGGCCATGGCCAAGGTATAACGCTGTCTAGATATATGGCTTCATACACTTGAAAAGCATGTTGGGTGCATTTAGAAGTTCTGTGTTTTTGTAGGAATCCACCGTTTTCAACGGAATCTTGCAGAAGGAAAATTTTTCAGCTGCTCCCATTATACCACTCACCTTTGATTAGCTCTTAATTATGGAAGGGCTGTACCAGAAGTTAATATTACAGTATTTTGGTCTACTCTCCTTGAGAGACACTTCAGCATTGAAGGTTTATGTAAGTCTACAATAAGCAAGAACTTGTAACTCTATAGAAATGAAGTGTTCTGGCTGTCAGATATATATAATGACAACTTTTAGACTGACACTTGACATTATCACTGAGAGAGCACATGGCCTACTGGAGATGGGCAGTAAACTTGGGAGGAATATGAGGCCTTGGTACCTTGTCATTTATGGCATGCCGGACACATGAAATAGACTTAGACAAAGTATATTTCTTCAAGATTTACTGTCCTGAATCTTTGATGGTGCTAGTCTCTGTCACTTAAATTCCAGTGCCAAAGAAGCCTATTAGTATCTGTCTGGGAACATAATTTAAATAATAATGAGAAATTGATTTTTAACATTCATTAACAGTCACTTCAGTCTGTAAATTGAAGGTGGTAGTTCTATCAAGTTTGCTAGTCTACTTTAAATGTTCCCCCTGATTATTTGTTGGCCTGCTTTGAATGTTCCCCCTGATTTCCCCTCAAGCAGCTTGTCAGTGGGAACCTAAATTACAGGATTGGTATTTCAAGGAATTTTTCCTCCACATTTTCTTCCTTCACAACACTTAATTTAAGGAGCTATATTAAAACAAACATGGGCAGACTGCAGAGAATTAAGAGGACCACAAGCAGCTACTAGGAAGACAGATTGAGATAAGAGCTGTGGCTCCTCAGGCTGTGGAGGAGAATCTGGAAGGGAGCTGCACACCAACGGTTTGCAAGAACATGTGAGAGGGCTGCAAAGAGCCATCTTCCCCCGTGAGTCAAGGAGAACAGGCCCCAGAGGCAACGCCTGAGGATTAGGAAAGTGCCAAAAATGGGTGAGAGGCAACACGAATGTAGGCTGTACAGCCACTTCTTTCTTCAGACACGTACTCTTGGCAGCCTTGTGCTAAGGATCACTTTTGCCTGCTCTAATCTGTCTTGTTTCACTCACCTGGCTGGCTCTTTCACTCGGTCAGCAGTGTGGAGACAACTCAGTGCTCTATAGCAAAGTAGCCATGTCCTGTGACCCCAGAAATGAGATGATTCCCATCCTGAAATGGGCTTCATTCCCACCTCTATGATTTCATACTTAACTGATGTTGTATACAGGCTGTTTAGTTAAAAGCAGCTCTGGTTTTTAATTTCTTCTCACAGGGCCTTTGCTGGGGCAACAATCCACGATTTCTTTAACTGGCTCGCTGTGTTTGTGCTCTTGCCTATTGAAGTTATTACTGGCTATCTTTACCATCTCACCAACGTTATAGTTGAGTCCTTTCATCTTGAAAGTGGTGAGGATGCCCCTGAGCTACTGAAAGTTATCACAGACCCCTTTACAAAGCTCATCATCGAGGTAAGCTCTTTTTCTCTTCAAGGAAGCTGCTTACTTGGTTCAGTAACAGCTAATCAAGATGCTCTGAATATGGGGAGGGGCTCCCACTCATTTCTGTGTGTCCTCAGGGTAAAACTCATTACCAGGTGAAATCTTCTTTTTGCTCACATTTCATAAAGTCCCAGCTCTATATTTCCTGTTTCTATTCCCCCACATTTCAAGTTAATGATGACAGCCCTAGCTAGGAGGGCTGGGAAGGCGGGTGAGGACAAATACAGCCACGTGGGACAGATGGGATGGCAGCCTATTGCCTAGACATTGGCAGACAGTACGAGGTGAGACAACTTAGCACAGCCAGAAGGTCTGCACAGGACCTGAAGAGATGACTCTGAAATTATGGGAAACTTGCACACATCCAGAGGGACAGCTGGAGGCCAGAGGGGGTGTGCACAGCTCCTAAAATGACAGTAAATGAATTTAGGTGGTTGTGTCAGTGTAGTTTAAACAGAAAGGGTGAGATGAGTTGGTGAATTATTTCGGGAGAATGAGACACAGTGTTGGTGTGTGTACACTTGTATCTTTTTCTGGGAGTAAACCCCTTCCTACCTGTTGGGCAGCAGCTCCAGCATTAGAGATGCTCATGCAGGCTTTACGTGGTTGAGCTTCCAAAGAGACTTATTTGAGTGAACAGAAGTGTGTGATGCAAGTTGCAATAATGCTTTTTGTCTTTTTTTTTTTTTTTTTTTAAAGCTTGATAGATCAGTAATAAATGCAATTGCTACAAATGATGAATCAGCAAAAAACAAAAGCCTGGTAAAGATTTGGTGTGTAACTGAAACCAATGTGGTGAGTATTATCTTAAATTCATTGTCAGGCTTCTCAGGAAATATATTATTGATCTGTAGCTGACAATTCTTATCATAGGATTGTGAAATTAGATTATTTTAAATTAGTATTTTTGTTCAGGAGAAAAAAGAATGAAAACAATTTGATGTAGCTTTCCTCCACTTAAAGCAAGGATGTCATACCAGTGCTGTGCTTGACCTGGTTGCTTTCGGTACCATGAAGGTCTTTGCTTTTCAGAAATGGTGGTTTGGAGCCATGCCTTTCACATCCAAATGCCTTTAAACTCCGATACTCCTGCTTACTCCCTGAAAGTGGAAAAAATCTCCAATATAGGCCAAAGAAAATGTCTTTTCACCCACCATTTATCTATTGAGCTAACCAGCTTTAGTCTTCCATGTGTTAGGGTGATCTGGTCACAGCTGGTTATTTGTAGCTTTCTTGGAAAACTGCCCTGAGAGAAAGCCTCGGTGGGACTATGTCCTGTTGTTCTTCACCCAAGCAACACTGCAGCTGGGAGAAACCTATTGCCCAGATCGACACCAATGAGTACTTTGGTAGACTGTGGAGCTGAGTGTTTGGTTTATGTTGTTCAGCTCACTGACAATTAGAGCATTAAATATCCGTTGGATCTCTAACGAGGCTATTCTACTTGTTCGTGTGTATATATAAGATAATTCCCGAAGTCCTGCAGCAGAAGATACTTAAGGACACACAGCAGAGGTTAAAATTAAGAGCATGGGTTTTCAGAGGAGCCCAGCTCCTATTGAATGACAGTCTGGACAGCCAGTGAAACGTTAGCTGGGGAGATAGAGCCAGGAGCAGAGCTGTGCTCATGTGAAACTCTGCTCAGGTTACGCTGCTGAGGAGCTGGGTATTTCATCTCAGGGGAGGCAGCTGTATGGCTTCCAGGTGCCAGCCAGCACTTGGCTACCCTTTTGCCGCACTGCCCAGGCAGGCACAGCCTGGCTCTCAGTGAGGTCTGAGCCCCCAAGTCCTACACTCCCCTCAATTTCAAAAGACAAGCAACTACACAGAAAGTGTAAGCTGAGGGTTACTTTTCCATATGCACATTTTTTCCTGTGTTTGTCTATATTTTGGCAGTGTAACTACTGCCCAAGCGTATAGTCAAACTACAAAACCACATGAAATCCCTACGAGCTTGACTTGATCTTGGTGGGGGAAGAAGATCATTTAAATGATTTACATTCCTAGAGGGTTAAACTAATCTCTGTCAAAAAATGATTAAACAGGGAAAGGACAAATACATGCAGACCCCATACATTTAAAGCCAAACATAAGGGGGGGTTAGAACGAGATGATCTTTAAAGATCCCTTCCAACCCAAACCATTCTATGATTCTATGATTCTGTAAACATTTTGATCAAATGCAGCTGCTTTGAAACCCAGATGTCCGAAAAAAATTCAGGAGGGAGAGAAACAACACTGTGTTGTGTTTGTGTTTGTGAAAGCTAACACGTTGGGGCAGGCTGGAGACCAGGTGCTCCCTGAAGATGTTGGGGCACTGGATCCACTCCCGGCTTTGCCCATCTGCGTCAGCTGGAGGGGGAATGCGAAAGTGGGTGTCCACAGGCAGTGCCCAGCAAGAAAATACGATTCCTCTTTCCCCATTTCTGCAAAAGAGAATCACTCAAGCACATTTTAAAGATACCTCCTGTTCAGCAGTGTGTTTCAGAGTCCATTTGGCTATTAGGTATTGTGGGGAAGTACAGTTCAGTCAGCAAACTGTTCTTTAATCTGCATAAGGACTTATGGACCTAGTGTCAGAATGCAATACGTCTGGGCTAGGAGCTCTTACGAGCAAGGTTTTATTGTGGTATAAATAGAAGCTCAGGTTCAGTTCAGTAGTACTAATGATAATCATAGTGATAGTAATTAGCTCCCAGATAGCCTCTGAGCTTTAGAAAGGGAAGTAGTAGCAGCACCTCTATTTCTACAGGCAGGAAAACTGAGGCACAGAAGGGCAGCGTGAGCAGCTTGTGCTCATCCAGCAAGAGGCTGCACTAGTACTCTAGCACTCTGAATCACAGTCCTGGGCAGTACTTACCAGACTGTTAATTGCAGTCAAGATGACAGCAAAGAGTTCTTCCTTTGACCCAAGGAAGCTTTGGCACTGGCTGGAAAAGGAATGCCACTGTCCCCCAGTTGCAGACAGACATGAGCCTCTTTTCACAAACCCTGACATTAGTAGTTAAGGTTCTTAGCTACTGATGACTTGGTGCTATGTTTGTAACGATGAAGAAGGCTTGGGGGATACTTTAATCTTTAGATATTGTATTGATTGACTTGGGTAACAGCACAACCATTTATTTTAAGAATGTAAAAATTTTTGCATTGTCATTACATGTGGTGCCAGCTTACACTCCAGCTTACAAATCTGCCTTTAGATGATGAATGCTTGGTTGCAGTAAAAGCCTAGAACTTTGTGTGAGCTGTTAATAAAGGGTTGTAGGTGACTGAACTATCTTCTTTGTCTGGCAATCTTTAGACACAGCAAAATGTCACAATTCCACCTTCAGAAAACTGCACATCTCCTGACTTTTGCTGGAATGAAGGAAACGTGACGTGGACCATCAAGAATGTAACTGAAACAGAATATATCACTAAATGTAAGTAGTGGAACTGTTTCTCCTTCGGTAATATCTTTACAAATGTATATAGCTTTCTAATGGTGTTAGCAGACCATTTCAGAGGTATACGAGAGGCACTCGCCTGTCTACAGACACAAGGTGCTACTGCAGGCACTGTCAGAGCAGCTTGTGCTCTGCTGTAGCTATACAGCTGGAGTTACCAGCATCATAGTGGTATCTGCCTGCAGATGGATCTCTTTCCATGCTCCCTGATATCAGTAATTGAGGTCTTCAGTATCATGTCACCCTCGCTGTTCAGGTGACTTGGAGCTACAGTTACGTTGTTGTAATGGTTGCTTGGATATCTCCATCCCTGTGCGTGCCCTTCAGGACTTTCAACAGCCCTTCTCAGGCCCATAGCCACCTCTGGGAAGAGCCGACCCACCATCTGGCTCCGAGCATGACAAAATTTCCTCACGCCATTGTATTCCCCTCCCTTGCACGTGGTCACCCAGCTCCTGCCTGCCCTGCACACTGTGTGTGAGCGTGGAGCCCCTCTTGCCCTGCTCAGACATGGCTTTTGTGGAGCAAGGGAAGTGCCATTTTCACTCTTTGCATCACCCCCTTGAGCTGTGTGTGCTTTGGTCCCATTTTCTTAGCAGCATGTATGAAAACGGAGCAGGGCTTGGGATCAGAGCAAAAATGTGGCTGGGCCAATTAATTTTCCTTTTCTTTTCCAGGCCAGCACCTCTTTGCAAACGCAGACCTGCCTGATCTTGCCATCGGTCTTATCCTCCTGGCTTTGTCCCTGCTTGTTTTGTGCTCCTGTTTGGTGATGATCGTTAAGCTATTAAACTCTGTGCTTAAAGGACAAGTGGCGAGTGTTATCAAGAAGACAATCAACACTGGTAATTATTTGTTTTTCCTGAAGATTATTTTCAGGAATGACAAGGCCACTGAGCACGTCTATTGATATCTCCTGTTCCGGCAGATATTATAGAATCGTTTAAAGAAAACTGTAGTGAACCAAAATTGCTACCCCCTCAACATTTCTTCTCCTCAGCATGTTATTTTCTTTCTTTTGAAAATCTATTACTGAACAGCTCGCTTGTGAGCTACAGCAGATTAACAGCAGCAGAGACCAAAGTCCAAGCTCTGTTTCTTGATGTATAATCATTAGCCGTTAGAAATGTAATGTTCCCATCCTCAAAAGATAGCGCTGAAGTACTGAGATCCTGATTACCTGCTCTGGCACAGAGCCTGCATGTTTCCTCTAAAGTAAGTGGAAAAAAAGTTTGTAGTGATTAATGACCTAATTCCCTTTGCTAGCCCTATTCCACTCATTAACCCTCTCTTCAGTAGGAAAAGGCTGCCCTGGACAGCAGTACTTTCTGTCTTTCAGAAAGACACCAGGTGTTTTTTCAGCCTGGATCTGTTGAGTGTAAATGTTTGGGTTTTTTTTCCACTTTGCTGCCTTTTCTTCATCCCCCCCTTGAATGGAGAGTTTAGAACCTGTATCAGAGAAAAGCAGTCCTGGCATGTCTCTGGTTGTGTTTGAAGAGAGGGTTCACAGAAATGGAGAACACAACAAAGTGGTCCCCATGCTGTCTTATCTTCTCCTGGGCAAAGAGCACTGCCTGAATCAAAAAGAAAAAGGGGTAGAATGTAATCAGCTGCCGGTTACTGTTCATTTGTGATCCATTCCATGTTCTTCTGTGTCTCCCTGAATGACTAAGTCCCCACTTCTTGGCTCACTCATAAATCTGGAGACTACAGGGGACCGTTGTGCCTAGTTTCTCTAGTCAGTGTGATTAGCTTTTCTTTGCAACAGTTAACAAGTGAATTTTTGGGAAGTGTTCAGCTTGAAACTAGTTAGAACAAGCAACCTCGTTTTCTCAGGATGGTCTTCAGAGCTTTCTGAAGATCCGATCCATGCAGTGGGTGCCTGGTTGCCAAAACCAAGGCACTCAAGACACCTAGAAGTTTTTGTGTTGACCTCTGGGGAAACATTTCTAGTACTTAATTGTACTGTAACATAAACGCTACTCTGAGTCAGGACAAATGTCTGCCTAGTCTAGAATCCATCTAAAAGTGTAACCAGTGGTGGAAGGCTGGAGAGGCAGCACAGCGAACAGGGTAAATTAGAGTAGAACTGACTCGGACCCAAAATCGTCATTTAAGAGACAACATGCAAACAATATAACTACATTTGAAATGCTTAATAGTCTTTTCACCACTGTGTTACTGTTACATAGAGCATGCTGTTACCCTAAAGACAATGTTCTCCCTCTCTTTTTTTTAGATTTCCCATTTCCTTTTACTTGGCTAGCTGGATACCTGGCTATGCTCGCAGGGGCTGGTATGACCTTTGTTGTCCAAAGTAGTTCTGTTTTCACATCTGCTATTACACCCCTTGTTGGTAAGTTGTCAATAGTGTATTCTTTATCCCCATGTTTTATCTTCTCCATCATTCTGAAACCACTCAATCCTGTTTCTTCTCTCCTAGGCATCGGTGTTATAAGCATTGAGAGGTCTTATCCTCTTACCTTAGGAGCTAACATTGGCACAACCACAACAGCTATACTTGCAGCTTTAGCAAGTCCAGGGAGTACATTAAAATATTCATTACAGGTGAGTATAAACCAACGCTTCCTTGACTTCATTTAGAAGTTGCAACTTTTCTGAAGAAAAACCTGACAAAATTGGCTCTGGTGCAAATGTGCTATGGAGGTTGTGCCTGATTTTGTGTACTATTAATGACAGCTCATTCATTTCAACTGCTAGGGTGAAAAGCTTGTATTAAACATGTCCAGAATGTCAATATATAGTAAAATCTTGCTTTCGTAAACTGGGCTTGATCTGATTGAACTGATTCAGAACTGAGACAGGGTGGGCCACTTGACCCCTGAGTGTGGTGTCTCTGCAGCTTGGAACTCAGTGTCCACTGTTCTGACGGCCCTCTTGCATAGTCCTTTTATAAGGGTTACTGATTTCTGCAAGTTCCCTCCTCAGGACCCTGACTCCATTCATGCAGTGTACAGGGACTCCAGTAACATAAATGAAAGCTGTACAACCCTTAAGATGGCAAGCTGTCTACCTACCTGAGGTCGTAGTGAGCATCGTGGCATCTATTTTCTTATTGTAAATCTAATCTGAGTGGGTTTTATTGAATTCCTTGTTGCCTCAGACTATTTGAAAAGTAGGCAGCCTGGCTTTGGGTTCCCATTTACCACCCAGTAAAGAACATTCCAGGCAGCAGATAACATTTGAATGAACCCTCTACATCAAAGAGTGAAAAGATAATGAAGTTTCCTTTGTGAATTGGATGAATGTTTTTTTACCAGCCACAATAAATCAAGAAAATTACAGAAGTCATTTTATTGTCCTCAGGCATGATCGAACAGATCTAATCATGAGAAGATACTATCTTGACCAAGCTCAGATTTCGTGATAACTTGCTGTTTTTACAAAGTACTTTAAAAGAAAAACCATGTACTTCCATATTTACTTTAGTCTTATAACAATTATAGAATGAAAATGTACTGTTTTGTTCAGTATATGCTTATTATGTCCAAGCAACTTCTGAAAGCTTTAGGAAGTAACTGTTTCTTCATGCTTTTTTTTTTTTTTTTAAATTATTGTGAAGTATGTGAATCAAATGATTATAAAAGACCCAGACAAAGTCACATTCCAGGAATCTTCTCAGTGCCCTATACACTTTTAGCTGATTTTTGTAAAATCTAGGTTTATACCATTAACAACTTCTAAATAGCCTTTATGCAGTATCTAATTTACACTTCTCATCTTTTCATTGAAAACTTATGGATGCAGAACCCAATAATGAACAGTTCTCCTGTAGTTCTCATGCCTTACTAATAGTAGGACTGTTTCCTGACCACTGTTTTGTTTGCCAGCTTTATTTCTGATGGACTCCTTTTCTTGGAGTTGAAAGCTGCATTTTAAGACTTCTCCATCTGTGGGGAGATAAGCCAGCCCCTCTAGGTTTGCCTTGTGTCCAAATGCTGTTCCCTGTTTGTAGGCAGGGATCTTTACAATGTGTGTGGTATTACTGGGTCCTTGCTTCATGCTAGGGAAGCCCCTGCAGTGAAATAGCACAAAAACCAAGAAAAAACGGTGAGGAGCAAGGGAATGGAAACTATGGAGTCTTAGTGACATTGGAAATTATTATCATGTGAGTAGGAGCATTTAAAGCCATTTTAACTAATGAACTTCTCAAATGTTTTTGCTTTCAGATTGCTTTGTGCCACTTTTTCTTCAATATCTCTGGGATTATTCTATTTTACCCGCTACCTTTTACCCGGCTGCCAATCCGCATGGCCAAGACCTTGGGAAACATAACAGCCAAGTACAGATGGTTTGCTATATTTTATCTTCTCATCTGCTTCTTTCTTTTGCCTTTGTTTGTATTTGGTCTGTCACTGGCAGGCTGGCCAGTCCTTTTGGGTGTTTGCCTTCCCCTGCTTGCTCTTTTTATTGCTGTGATTGTGATTAATATTATGCAGACAAGGCAACCACATTCACTGCCTGAGAAGCTCCAAAATTGGGATTTCCTACCCATCTGGATGCACTCCCTAGAGCCCTGGGACAATATAATCATGTCTTCACTCTCCTTTTGCGGGAAACACTGCTGTGGCTTCTGCAAATGCTGCAAAGTCAATGTAGAACAGGAGGGTGCCAAAGACAAGCAGCTAAAAACTATGGAGGTTTATGAAAACACCATTGCGATGGCTGATGAAGAAAGAGGTGGAAGAAGGGCACCAGCTGCAGCTTGTGTTGAAAAAACAGGCACAAACAACACAGCCTTATAGTAGTGGATCAAACCATATTAGCAGAGACAGCATAGGACAGTCAGGCTCTTGAAAACCACCTTGGACAATGCACTGAGGACAGAGTGAACACCTTGTTAGGTTCCTGCAGCCAGTGATACATCACTCATCAAGGAATGGAGTCAAACAAGCTTGACAGAGTCCCTAGAAAATCTATGATCAGTTGAAAAGCTGATGACAGATTTGCTTACAGAGGATCTACTATGCGGTACCTTCCTCCAATGCTATCAGTAGCAAACAAGAAATCCTGATGTAGTCCCATGAAGAGAGGGATGAAAGGAGTGATGATCAATTCAAACAATCGAAAACCAAACATACAAACAGACAATGCACTTGTAGAACAGCTTTTCTGACCTACTGGCTTATTCAGCAGAAGTTACTTTATAATACCTAAAAAGCTCTGGAAATGGGGGAAAAAGAAAAAAAAAAGAGAGAATCCTAATGTTTTCATTGGCCTATGTGCAGTGGTCAAACCAGAAAATAGTTTTCCCAGTGTGGACAAAATCTATTATATGTGTGTGAAGGAAAATGAAATGCTAGGACATCCTTCAGAAGCTCTGGGAGTCCTACTCTGGCATAAGGGTATGCATAAGCCCATTTTGAGCCCTCTCTGTCTCCTTTAATACTGGGGACAGGAGTTATAATCTTTTATTATCTCAAGCTAGAAGCTATAAATGCAATTGTTGATACCTCTGCCTGCTGAAGGTTAGGCACTGGGTTGGAGACACTGGGAGACTCCAGATGTGGTTGTGCGACCATTCCTCTTTCCAGATGGTCCTCCCCAATCCTGTTCACCATGTCGCCCCACAATCAGAGGTATGGTGCAGGAGGGAGGACAAGTGGCCAGTGTAGGGGAGGGGACAGCCACCCAAACCTGGGCTGCCACCAAGAGATCTGTGTGGAACTGTGGCTCCACCTGGCTGAGCCACAAAATGACCTTTCAGAGCAGTGGTGGAGACTGGCTTCACAGCTACAAAAGAGGTAACCCGGAGAACAGCTTACAGCTAGCACAGGACATGCGGTAATGTTTACTGGAGAGAAAGGAGTGTTTGCTCCGCACATCACTTTGTGCTTTGAACCACCTTTCTGGGAAATAATGTGAATTTTACTGGCGATTGTATGTAGCAATCCAAATCCCAAATAAAATCCAAAGTAGTCTAGTCACTACCGTGTGTAGTCAATCCACAGGCAGTGTAGCACTTGGTGGGAAGCTGCTTGTGATCAAATCTTATTGATGTTTTAGTAAATACTCGTAAAGCTGCTCTGAATCATGGTCTGACAAAAGGCATAATTTCAATGCCAGAAAAAGGGCATTTCAAAAATGCATTGAGTACTTCTGCTGGCCTTCAATACCTTAGATATCAATAGGTATGAGATAATATCTGAAGTCCAACCACTAATGTTAAAAAAAAATAAGGTGGCTGAGTGTAGGCCAAGTGTTATTTAAAGCCAGTTTTCATGTCTGTGCTATTGATTCAATTTGTAATGGAAATGCTGAGAAGACCCATAGTTTAACATATACCCTCAGTGCTGCTAGAACATATTTACTTCTGAATAGTTGTTTTCTGCAGACCTCTGGAATTCAGTAGGTTGAATTTGGCTATCAGGTAATTATGTACATTTTAGAAGTGAAAACAGTTTTCATTTCCTTTTTTTAAAGTGACATTTAAACTGGCAAACTATGTTGCTGAAAATGTGTTTGCTAATTGCATTCATACTGGGATTTCAACTGTTTCTGTAATTGTGAAGCAGTGACAAAATGCTTAGAATCAGAGTGAATTTCCAAAAGCATCAAGTTTTGGAATAGTTCTGCTCTTTTGAGGTTTAGTAGCAGAGAGCAGAGTTATGCCAAAATATTGTTTTAAAAATTATTTTCGTTGTCCTTCATATAGTTGAAACAGTTTTGTCAGCAACCAATTTTTACAGTGGAATTTTGATATCTTCAATAATTCTTCTTCATTTTATTCCCACAATTCTGCAGGCTTTCAGAATCAGTTTCTTTAAATCCCAGTGTGCATTTCCTATGCTTTGTTTCTTTGGGAAAAATATGAGAAAAATATCCAGAATTCTTTCCAAGTTATCTCACGTTTCCATTGACCATCCATTGAAAGAGGAAACATTTTAATCTACTTTTACTCATTTCTTAAACAACATGCACCTTATTTTATATCTTGAAATAAAGCCGTCAAGCACAGTGATAACAACTGTGGGAAAGCAGTTCTTACAAAAGAATCAGGGTAATAATTAATAGTCAGACATATCGGTACTTTATGTTTCCTCATTGTAACATTTCCCTTATGATATATTCAGTCCTTACTCTCCTCTCTCCTTGCTCCAGGCCATATTGTGCCATTGTTTTAGGCAGATTCTGACAAAGATTTCTGTTTAACCCATGACAGCACAACATGTCCTGGCATATTTTCCCCCCTACTCTTAGCAAAAGATATTTACACTTTATTTATAATTATTTGAGTGTACAGAATTTTTCATAAGTTATACAGAAAAAGGCTCATGATTGTGTTACATATTACGTATTTGAAAACTATGCAATGTTTATCTACAAAAATGTAAAAAGGAACTACTGTATATTTTGTAATATAACTTTTCAAATTGTTTGTAATTGTGTATACCGCGTATTATGGAGGCTGTTGGCTCCGTCAATAGCTTACGTAAAGATTGTTATTGATGCAGAGACAGATTTCTTAAAGTAAAGATGAAAAACACCTACATACTTTCATAATATGGCTTAATGCACAAGGATATCAAACTCCACTTTTCCAAAAGATCTGAATTTTCTGTAATGAGGAATTTCAGAAATACAAGGTTTCTAAAACACTTTTTAAAACTTAAACACTATATCTTTTAACTGTTTTGAAGACAGTATATAGCTTTATACTTTGTCATGGATATTCATCTTGTCTGTCCTCGTGCATTGAATGTAAAAATAAAGAGAAGTTTTAAAAAAATAAATCTGTCCATAATATCTGTTTATATACATATCATGGAATCTTGCAGAAAATAGGTATGCAGACAAATTCTACTCTGAGCCGATGCAATGTACAAGAAATGAGGTTAGCATCAAGCACTAAAGAAAACCGCCAGAGGACTGTGTGTCCAACCTTTTCATATGAGTGAGAGATTTTCATATGGAACAAAATAAAAACAATTACTCGGTGCAATTGTGTGGGTCAAGATATTTTCCAGCGGGGTTCTGCAGACTGTCCTCAGTGAAAGTAAGCAAGGGAGAGCAAAGTCAGGGCTGTTGTAACAACAGGACACATGATGAGTTATAGCAAATGATCTGTGTCACTGTGCTAGGCTCAGATTGTCCCTTCTACATGAAAGGCGGCGAAAAGCATGTTTTCAAAATGCTCCTTATACCCCATGACCTGAGTGATGTCTAGCTCATAACTGGGCAAAAATATCCATCTTACTCTTTTTTTTTAATCACAAGCCTATCACAAGCCTATGCACAAGCCTATCATAAGCCTATGCAGCTTAAAATTAAACAGAATTAAAGTATTCCTTAAATGCCTTAAATATTATTTAAAAAGGTTATTAGACTTCCTAACTATAACCTCAACAGCAGCTGAGGAACCAGCCCCAAAAGCAACTATCATTCCCAACTACACCATATTTTAGTGAAATTAAGAGAGCAGAAGTATTTCTTGTAACAAACATTCATGCACTACAGTGTAAACTGTCTACTAAAAATGCGGTAAACCCATGATTTAAAGCATACAGCTTCTTACACCCATACAGAAACACTGTAATTCTGTGTGCCATCACCCCCATGACTCGCTGGCCTTTGGGAACCAAAGCACATCCCGGACACGCACGCATCTTGTGCCATCCACCTCACCGTTTCCAAACTCCTAGCAGAGCTACCTAGGGCAAAGTTCAGCAATGTCTATAGGTATTTAACAGCAGGTATGTCATGAAGTGTGGCACTGATCAGAAGCCTTCAAAATGTTCAACATAATGCTTCAGCTAATTGCCTATCTTCCCCTACGGCTGGTCCCCGTCCTATTCCTCTCTGCTTGTGACTCGACCGTGTTGTCCACAGCTCCTTCTGGGTGCTTTTACCCTCTGCTGAAGGTTCACGTTCACTTCCTCCAGTTTCAAATTCTTGATAACTCTGCATTTAACTGCACCAGGCCTACCGCTGTGAAGGGTTCTCATTACTCAGAAAGGCAGGTTAAATGCTTCATCATCTCTTTCTTCAGCTTACCATGTAGTGGTGAGCACCCAGTCAGGTCCCCAGGACAGCCGCTGGTCATGCTGCTGAGGAAGGCTGTTCTCTGGCTCACAGCAAATTATTTGGCGGTGCAGACTGGTGTGGTACCATTGGCAGTAGCTTAAGCAATGCACAACAGCAAAGGATCTGATCCCCTCAGCTAAAAATAAATAGTGAGTAGCACTGAGTAAAAATCCACTATTTCAAGAGCTGCATAAGGGAGGGTGTACTCTACACAGCCGCCAGGGAATGCAAAGCCACTCTTTGGTTGCATAATTTCAACAGGCTGTGCTTCCACGCAAGCGCTTTATCTGCATTTGGCTGTTTCTTTCTCTAGCTAATGGCCAAACCTGGTATTGTCACATGCCAAAGGCATGACACTGAATGTGCAAACCCACTCATGATATTTTTACAGTGAATACTCTCTAGATCTTTGTCCCTTTATTACAGTTCTGTAGAACAGAGGAAACACGTGAGTCACACAAGAGAGCTGAGTGCTTACTTTGCATATTGGACAGTAATTATGCTGATTTTCAGTGAGCTGTCCCTAAGCAGGTTTCCTCTAACAACTGAGATCTAAGTGTTTCAACAAGATGGAGAAACAGAGCAAAGGCTAGCATTAAAATGTGACAAACATTCCATCTTACTCAGCACCTGATGAAATTTCCTAATTGCCATTTACACTTTTGGGGTGTATCAATCTTTTTACACTGCTCGGTGTCGAAGGACATATTACCACGGCATAAACAATCAGGATAATTACAGGTGAAGACATTTTGCAACCAACACCACAGCCGACAGATTGGGTTTTTTTACACAATGCAAAAAGCGTAAATTACAGGGCATGCAAACAATTCACAGACCAAATGCTGCCCTTGGTTAGACAACACGCAACCATAATT